GAAGACCATCCACCGCACCTTCCCTTTGGCGCAGTTGGCGCGAACGCCCACCGACTATCTAATCACTCGCCGCAGGTCTATACGTGGCGAGTGATTAGATAGCAGAGAGAGCGTTAGCGTTGAAGAGGGCACAAAGATGAGAGTCGCATCAATGCGGAAATCAAAGGGCAAGGAAGTGGTCCCATTTCAAGAGTGTTTCACATGGATTCTTCCTCCTCCTTCCTTCACTATGCACCTGCAATGGTTACCAGTTAGCTACCTTTTAATAGTAAAATCCGCATCTAGGCGAGTACCGATGGTGATACTGCAAGGGATGGGGTGACGCGACTATGAAATATTATATTAAAGCGAGGGATTACGATAAGTTTGGACTGGGTTCATAGTGGAAGTGGAGATGCTGAATAATGCCCCAGTGGCGAAAAAAGCAAAGAAATCCGTCAAGAAGGCGCAAAATGGGACCCCTTTCTTTGCCCGTTGACCTCCGATAATGGACGAGCTAATTAGGAGGTCGTTTGCACATGTTATGCTGATAGCCTCTATCATTTCAGCAAGCATCATGCTTTGATTGATCACGCATCCCATGAAAAGTTATAGGATACACTCTGGAAGTGGAATATCTCGTCACATTGGCAATCGAAGGGCGCTGCTGCTGGGGGCGGAGCACAGACCGTGGCGGGGCTCAGAAAGGAATGGCAAGCCTTGTACGCTGCAACTAGCGCACCTTTGACCACAAAAACGCAACATTTCGTTTCCTTGGGCCCCTGACTACTGCTTCCAATGGTGCATGTACTTCCACGCTAACAAAAACTTATCACAATGTAACGCTTCGAACTTGCTATGGAACTAGAAAGCAGATAGGTTAGATCAATCGAGTTATTAGAAACGTGACTTACAAATATGAGGTACTGGAGTTTTACAGTGAACAGTTGATTAAGAAGTTGTGAGCCTCAAAGTGTGGACCAAACAGCTCTGGGGCGAGGTTCTTTGAAGATGTCGGTTGTTTTTGCGCTCTGACAAGAGTAAGTTGTGTTCTCACGTGGGTTTTGAAGGCTTTCGACATGATATTACCAAATTTTGACTGGAGCATCAATTTTATTCAGGATGCGATAGGTGTGGGTTTGCCAAACTCACAAGTTGAAACGGCCTGATGTTCACTAATATTAGCAATGAAAAACGCAAATGAATTAATCTAGGGCTTGAAAAAAAGCTTTCACTAGTGGAGTTGATTTGAGCGGATTAGGAGAGGGTACCGCGAAGCAAACTGAATGCTCAAAGGACGAATTAATGATAAGAACCAAGGCCGAAGAAGAGGGAAAGGCCTAGCTGGGATACAGGTGGACTTCCTGAGGGTGCTGACCATAGCATGGCTCAATCTCTTGTCGCGGTTGGCGGGGTACGCCCACCGACTTATCTAATCACTCGCCGCAGGTCTATACGTGGCGAGTGATTAGATAGCAGAGAGAGCGTAGTGTTGAAGAGGGCACAGCGATGAGAGTCGCATCAATGCGCAAATCAACGGGCAAGGAAGGGTCCATTTCTCGGTTTGGGCCATTTTCCTCATTTGTCCTTCTTTTAGTGCCATCACTGACCATCTCTAACTTAATTTGAAATGGGTTGCTTTTCAGCGTTAATCCGTCTTTTAAATGTTCCGCTCATTCGCACTTCTGAGATACTGGCTGATACGCATCCTACCGTGTTAGCTGGAAGCATCTTTTGTAACATGGAGGGTCGCCCAGGACGAATCGTTCGTTCACGAGGCTAAAACGGACAGCATGAAAGAGCCTTCTGCGCCGGCTTTTGGAGCGCAAGTCGACAACTTATTTTTTACATGCCTATCATTGTTCCTTACTAGAGAGGTTGCGTAATCAATATTAATGAGTAAAGTGTTTCGCCTCAGGAGAGGTATTTTACGAGGAACGCAAAGGTCAGTACGGGGTACGCAGCACCAATATTAGAATTTTCACGCCTTTCGCAAGTTTTTGACGCATTTCTACTGAGATCATTGACGAGAAACATGAGCATGTGATCACAGCTCACAACGATGCTTGAAGATTAGAATTGGAGATTAAAATCCAAATATTGGCAAGAAATCTCTCTGGCAATCTGGTAAGACGAGCCCACACGTGAAGTATAAGACGATCATTGACAGTGTGCTATGTCAAACGCAGACCAGCATTTTTGAGTGCAGGCATATCATTTTACAACGCATGAGATGCGTTGGCTTTTCAACTGGGTCTGTTGAAGACACACAAGATTACATGGAGAGTGATCTAACCATAAGCTGTGAGTTAGTGATACTGATAATAGTAGAGCCACTGCAGAAGTAATCAAGCCTATCTATGAACACAACTGCGATATGCTGACTTCACTGACATGTGTATAGGTGCCAAATTGTGCATCTGAAGAAAAGCAAATGCTAAAGAACCCGAGAAACCTATTTTCCCCGTTGATTTTGATTCGGATTGTTCAACGACTGCTGTTGGCGTTTCGGTGACCGGTGCAACTACTTGTGTTAGTAATTAAGAGTACACCCAAAAAATTCAGCAAATTTGATAATAGGTTTCTGCACCAAGGACGTCACAAGATTTGCCATGGGGCCTTGAACCAGGTCGTGTCATCTGGTCCTGCAGGATCATTGAACCTTTACGACGATAGTCTGAAAGTGAGTGAAGGTTTCCTGCCATTTTAAGCTACTAAATGTGGGAGCAGTCGATTTCGAGTTTTAGCAAAGTGTGGTAATGCTGCGGAAGGTGGAAGGAGTGCTCCCTTGTTTTTGGCAACTACATATTGATAATAGATAGTGCTTTTGGTTTGAAATGTTAAGAGTTCAAAAAGAAGTTCAGAGTTATGAACAATGGGGAACCACCCTAATGGTCGGGAAATTACATAATGAAAGGTTTAGTCAGGACTGAGCAACAGAATACGGCATGGGACGCTAAATATAAGAGATCGAGGATTTACTGAGGACGGAGACGATCGCCTGTATGCCCATTCTGTCAAAGTTGCACCTTTTTGCATGAAATTGTAGGCTTCAGAGACTAAAATCTGCGCAGAAACGAGAATCGTGTCAGCGTCATATCAACGGGGCGAGGAGAAAATCAAGTTTCTCTATACACGTTAGTCTAGGAAGGGGGATCTAAATGTTTGACTCGACGCCGTCAACGGTTGGAGATCAGGTAGGGTGCGCACCATACCACTTTGTGATGATTATTGGATCAGAGTGGGCCGAACAACACTAGCCATCGGCGGTTCGATAGTAGTAGTTCTGCGTGACGGTTACACGAAAGGAATGGAATGCTCCATGTCTCCCAAGAGAGAGATCCACTTTTGAGCGCTCCCGAACGTAACAACTGAACATCATGGCAATTAATGGAGACTTTGCCCACTGGAAGGATCCGGTTATCAGTGGGACAGCAGGCGACAGACGACACACTGGCCGTACCATGCACTGCACCTGGAGGAGGCACCATGTTTTTGGAGGTTCCGTTCCAGTTCATAGAGGACGTGGGAGTAATCAGCCCCTGCTGTGAGCAAGTGGGTCGTGCGTGGATGACAACGGGTCGCGAAATGAGGTGATGGTGCCCCTGATGAGATGGGAGGAATCCATCGCCAATCTGCTCATCGGGGTGGCCGCCGTCACCGCAACCATCGACCGTTTCAATTAGAATTTTAATTCACTTAAGCGCAATAGAGTGCATGGTCATTGTGGTTGCGATCGCAAAAGGTGGATTTAGGTCATGCGAACGCGCCCTCTATAGGCCATTTGCGCGGCTGACAGAGACATCGGGGGGGGGGGGGCTGGCTGTGCGTTTCATCGCCATTCACTCCCCGTGTGCCCACCGCAATCATCTGCATTTTTCACTTTTCTCCATCGCTTACCGCACACGCCGTCAGCGTCGTTCGTAGAAAGTCCTACCGCGGCCGCCGCTCGAGTTTCGAGCGTGTTTTCTCGCTTCTATCCCTTCCCTTTAGTCGAGCGACTTTGCATCGACACATCGATTCTCTTTGTATTTTCTGGGATTTCCGTTTAGACTCCTTTCGTTCTGTTTTCGCTTTACAACGTCAACTTTTTGCACAATTCCTTGTTTTGCTTTATGATTGACACCACAAAATCCTAATTTTCTGGTGGTACGTGGTACCGTAGTCTCGCCTCGTAAATCTCCACAGACCGAAGCAGGGGGCCGATGGCTCGTAAGTTTCTTCGAAGTTCGATCGACGACGTCGTGAAACCAGAACGCTAGCGCAAAAACGGCTTCGTGGGCTCTCACGTTGTTGTGGGGGCAGTCAGTGTATGGGCGCTGTCAGGCGCTCCGCCGGTGGTTAGCTGCTCTATCAACTTTCGCGCACGGAGAGAACATCGACTGCCCTTCGATTTCACCTAAACCGTCGCCATCACCACACCCTTCGTTTACGCTCTCGTTGATCGCATTTCCGTCCCGAAAGTGACAATATCAGCTATGGTTCATACGTGTTTCCAAGTTCTTTCTGCGCTCGTGTGTTCTATTCTTGCCGTTACTAGTGGACTAGGCCGACAGCTTGAATGTCTGATAAGTCCCTCATAGGATGCGCCACTCATCCGACTTAAATGGAAAATCGTATAGCGTTTGGATGTGATCGGCTGGCATAACAGTTCCCTCAAGCGAACCATCTTCTGTATTTCTTGCCGAGCGTAGCTAAATGGTTTGAGGGGTTGTCTAGACAGGACTCGATCTCGGTTTGACCACGCTTGATTCCCCACTTACTGCTACAATATCCCTTCCGCACAATTTTTTGTGATTTGGATCTCTCAGAATGGTCCATGAGTGAGTGTCAGGCTTGTTTAGAGTTCGTAGATGCACTCATTCATCTAAGACCGAACATTTTAGCGTTCGTGAACACGAGCTGATTTTCTTCGAGTGAGCTTCGACCATTGTCCAGGTCAGAGTCGCTGAAGCGAAAGCGATCTCCATTGAAAATCGCGTCGTACCGAAGAGGGAGGGAGTTGGGAGTTATTATCCTTGATGATTCACAATCCTCTGGAGCTACTGCTCCTATTATTCCTCTGGCCCTCTCGCGACATCGACTTCCGGGTAATCATAGATCGGCACGCGAATGCTTCTGTTCCGGCTCGGGAACGCGCAATTGACGCTGGAATCGGTCACAGTCAGGTGGGGAGGGCAAGTGGTCCCCGTTCGAACATGCGTTCTGTAGCTGTTTGAGTGGCGTTCGCCACAAACAAACGACGCACACCATACCTGGCCTTCCGACCGGCATTCATATCGTCATCACGTACTAAAATGTCTATCTATCAAATGGTATTACCCCTCGAAGCCGTTCGATTTGGTACGAGACCGAGATTATAGCGCGATTCAGCGCCTCGAGCTGTTTTTCCCCTGACGTGATTAAGCCTAATCGTTTTTTAGATGGCCTTTCTGGAGCTTGGCAAGACGACTGATCTTAAAGCAGAGGAGTTTGCCGGATCGAAATCGCGTTTTGGGATCAAAATGGTGGGTGACTCATTTCGATATGCTTGCTTATCCACTGCTGCCACTAGCTGACTGATATCATTCAAATGTTCGCAATGAAACAGATAGATCGTAGCATCGCCGATCACTCTCTCGCTTCTGCATCGCATTGTCCTCTCATCTGTGACGTTGTGGCGCGGTGTTAAAATGATACGCTTAAGTTGCACCTGATAACAGAGAAGCCCAGGAAGGCGGGGAATGAGATCAATGCAATTTTCAAGATGCCGCGAAAATGCAGGCGCTGGTTAGAAAATGGTTTCCCAAGCCAGTAAGGGAAGTGGTCAAAAATCTGCTGCCACCTACAAACCTTTCAAATTTTTGCAAGCGAATAAAATCCCTGACATTCCACTTCCACTTGACACCCGCCCCTTTCGAAAAATTGGATTGTTCATTAGTTGCCGCACCACATGCCCTCTCACTGGGCGAGCTTAGGTAAAGTCTTGTTTCCCACGACAGCAAGGAATACATGCACGACTTCCTGATGAACGAACCTGAATTTTTGATTGTCTTCGTAAGTTTTGGTTGCCTTGCGAATGTTTCACAAGAATGCTGGGTTGTGAACAAAACTTTCGCCCCAGGCGGGACTAGAACCCGCACCTCTCGCTTTCCGGGCAAGTGCGCTACCAGTTACGCTACCGGGGCACCATTTCATCCCAACTCAGCTTTTCATGGTATACTTACCATAGAGATAGGCATTACTTGACCTAGAGTCTCATAGTTTGGGCGTTGAATTCGGGCAACAGTAGAAGTTTCGCTCTAGAATATTTAGTTGCTAGTAGACGTAGGTAGGTAGGTTCGCTGATGAAGAAAGAGTCACAGTACGTTTTGTAGGAGATCTTCTTGCAAAGCAGACTCTCGTCAAGTACTCTCCAACGCAAGCTTACTGCATCTATTCGGACTGTAGTGAAGTAGTGGCCGGAAAGAACATTCGCGTGAAAGAGGAGGAGGACGCACACCATCTGAAACTCGTTTCCATTGAGGTGAGCCAGCCACGACTAGCCTATAATTGCCCGATTAGAACTCATTTCGATGGGAACACCACTCAAACTCATTCACATTTCAAACACTCTTCAATAATATGTCAGGAATAACATAAAAATTACCTCTCAGTATTGTGCTGTCCCGGAGCCTCATCAGGACCTAAATGTTATAAAACACAGAGAGGCACCAAAATTTATTTCAAAAGAGTCCCAAAAGTTCACAATTTGGAATTTTGGAGTTTTTCGAATACTTTGTGAACTTTTGGGACTTTTTGAAATAAATTTTGGTGCTTCTTTGTGTTTATAACATAAAAATCACCATCACAAGGAAATAATCCAGCGTTATACAGTTGGTGTAAAACCCGTGGGTATTATGCTTGATAGGTTTTGCACAACCGGTCTTGAACAGGTTCCGTAGCATAGAACACTGTGGCTTTGTGGAACTTGCTTAGAACTTGATATGTTTTTTATAGTCCCTATTGAACAAGACGAGAAACATCAGGATAGGGCCTGCCGTGAAGTGTTGTCGAATAGGAAGAAGAAGAATCGAGGCTCTTTCATTCAAGGACCGCTCGCCTATGTCTTGACATCGTTCTTAAGGGCTCTCAACAGTTGCGTAAAGAAACAAAGCGTCCTTGACGAAAGCAAAAAGTTTCGAGCTGTAGCTCACTGTGGACTTTAAAAGGTTTTACTGGCGGAGCGCTGGGAAGGGTTCCAAATTCCCATGCAACTTTGAATTGAGACCTAGGTAAGTTGATAGAGCCTAGAATGTTGGTTGCAAATATGTAAAGTAAAACTGTGACGCGAACTCGCTTAGGAGAGCGATCAAATGGCTATTAATGCAGCGTTGGTATAATGATACTTGATGAAAGCGTACCTGCAAGGGATTCTGATGGCCCTGGTCACGAAGATGACATCTATTCTTGGCGCAAACGCCATTTGGCACGTAAGCGCCAACCAAGGATGCAAAATTTTGTCACCACGGTCACCAATGTCAGTTTTACCATGATCCCAGACTATCGATCAACCTAGGT